TGAAGCGAGATTTGTGTTAATACTAACAAAACAATTTTTTCCCATGTTATCAGCAAGAAAATCAGAGCAGCTGTGGACAGACATCAAGCTGGGTGTTGAATGGTTATTAGAAACTATTCATGGCCAGTTTCAATGACGTGAAAGTGTATTCAGTGTGAACTGTGCTGAAAGGAGGCAACAAATCACAAGTTTGGTCAGTGTCAGGTTTGAGAAAAGTTTGGAGGGAGAAGTAATTGGAAAACTCATTTTCTATTGTTGCTGACAGAATTTCAGCAACTTCGTGTCCGTGCATTGTGTGATCGTAGCGTCTGGGTTACTTTACAATGAGGACAACAGTGGTGGTGGGAGGGGAAATGTTAATATAACTTATTTATTGTCTCAGGCTATGTGTTGTCTTTGCTGTCACCACTGCGCGAGTAATTTGATCGCGGGCCAGTGTGGTGGAAGCGCGATGGCGGCTTCTCGCTTTCTATTTCGGGGTCTTTTCCATCTGACTCTGGCGATGCTATCAGCCTGACAGTGACAGAGGTGGAAGCGCATATTCCTGCTGCTGATATTTATTTGTACACTGATGCAGTTTTGGTTATCTAGCGGCCTTATTTCAAACTGCATGTCAACTGAAATGTTCCCCTAACCCTCACCATGTAATTACTGCCCAAGGTAACAAGCTGTTCCACACTTGAGGAGTCTGCTGATTTGTGCTACACAGAAGGGTTTTGTTTGGACCTGGGCCACAGGAATATCACCAATGCCACACCTTGGCACAAGTTCTGATGCTGTTTTTCTGCAGCAATATCCCAGACAAAGCGTGGAAATAAAGGGGGGAAAGTAATGAGTAAGCAGGAAAAGCAATAAAAGCACAAAAGTTCATTCAAGGAGGACAAAAACAAGACAGAAGGAGACAAAGGAAACCTGTTTAGAGCGAAAGTGGGCGAAGTCAACTTTGAAGAAAGACAAAGAGAGTTGTATGGGAGACAGAAATAGAGAGGGGCAAAACTGAAGGGGAAGACAGGCAAAGACACGTGGGAGAAAGAGAGACTGGGAGGAAGGAGAGGATAGAAAGGAGAAGGGGGCGGGGGATGCCGTTAGCGGGGCTGTCAGGTGCTGTCAGGATGATGAATGGGAGGCCAGCACGGGCTGTGAGGGCCCTGATGGGAGCCGCTGAGCTTTACATCACTCTCCTGAGTGTTTGTGAAAGGTTATTAAAGGCGCTTAAATCACGGGGCTCTGACACAGGCCCGCTACCAGCCACCAAACTTCCCCAAACTAAAGCCGGTGACAGTCAAATGCTCCCGAGCCACGACAAAAGGAGAGCGGCCGCACAGGTGTGGACGTGCACAGCCAGGGGTGAGGAGGTGATGACACTCGGATAGATTGTCTTTTTCAGAGGAATAATGCGGGGTAAATGGGTTCAGAAGCAGTCATCCATCATTACGGCCGGTTCACGGCTGACGAATAAGGTTATTGTTGACACGAATGCTTATTTTAACGCAGAAGTTTGAAATCAGTGGAATGAGCTGCTAGTAAAATCACAGCAAACGTACACAGAGCGATAGGATGCTTCAGTAAGTGGGTTCCCATGGGAGTAAGTAAATTTACTATGCAGCAGTAGTAAGGTGGAGTCAAACTTTACAGGTTAAATTTTACAGCTGCTCTTTTTTTATTTGTATTTTGGGTTTTTTAAATGGTAAATGGCCTGTATTTGTATAG